CCCTCAGTTGTCACACCACTTTGTAAACTCTTAGTATCCATTGGACTTTCTGTGCCTCACCAGCACTGAAAATAGCAGTTGTGGATAGACTTAAATCTTCACTTTATGTTCTAATTTGAGTCCAAGTTTAAACGGTTTCACATTTGAAATAAACCCTCCTGTAATAGAAGAAAGTTGAACAATGGCAATAGTGGTTTTGTAATGATGAGGTACTTCCCATTGTAATTTCATACTCAGCCAGACTAGGGCAGGCAAATATAAACCTCTCACCATAACAAGATATAGTTGTCTATTACTTTGTCTTCTTCTAAGTGAATTTCTACAAAGTATGCTTATATTAAATCATTTCTCAAGCAACCAAACCAAAATGTGCATATAACACCAGTACTTGAGACGTTGCACAGGTTCCATTCAACGTACTAGATTAGACTGAAAATTCCAATCCTTTTTTTCCAGCCAGCTCTGGGGCTGTTTTAGCATCTATTATGTACAGACAAAACTATAAACATAATCACTTACCAGTGATGGAGACAAGGAAAAAAATCTGGAAGTTCAAGGATGAGATGATCTTAGTGAAAGAGCTCTGCCTAGGGAACCCTTAAAACTGGAGAGAAGGCCAGTGTATCTATTTTGCAACATTTGAAAAGCAGTTTTTCTTAGATATAGGTTGTGTAATGGCAAGGAGCAGATGTATTGTTGTAGCCTCAAGGTGCTTACAATTGTAAGAATGTAAGATTCATCATGAGAACTCTCTGCCACTTGTTGACAACAGTGGTGTTTAACTTAATGCTTGGAAATCCATAGGTAGTCAGACTGTGAAAGTGCTTATAATATGCAGCATTATTCTAGCCTTTGACTTCACAATACTTGCTTATTAACACTCCTCTATTCAATATCCCAAATTTACAGATAGTGAATTAATTACTTCAGGAAGTGCCTGAACTGAGATTACAAAGAAATTGTGTTGAAAAGTCGAACAGGGGGGAAAAAAGAGTCCGTTCTCTTTGGTAACATGAATTAAGCTAAATCTGGTAGTCTCTCAACTGCTTCATGAGGAGGAGAAACTGATGATAGAACCAGATATTCTTCATGCAGTCCTCTTATTCATAAATAATAGATAAAGTCTCCTGTTCCAGTACACAGGAAGAATTTTTATTTAGAAATTCAAGCCTCTCTCCTCCAGCTCTCAGTGAGAAAACTTTCTAGGTTTCTTCAAAGGTCAAGCTCCCAAGGGCTCATGTCCTATCCTTTTGTACCTTATATCTTTCTGCTTCTATGGTGATTCTCACTCTTTAGTGTTTCTCACTAACATCCATTTCTGCTGAAACAAAGCTCTTAAAAACTCTGTGATTACAGGTGTCCTGATGTGCCTGTTGTAGGTTGGAGACGGCTATTGTGTCTATTGAGTCTATTCATAGCGTCCACTGAATTATTCTGGTTTAACTGAGAGTACACTGTTAAAGGAGTAACAGTTCCAATGTAAATAATCCTAAATTGAAAGTGTTCTTAACCAGTATGCAGACCTCTTAACTAGTACAAAGACAAAATAATAGTGATTTTATAATGCCACTATAATATTTCCAGTACAGCTTTGTTCATGAATGTCTGAATGCAGAATGCAACTGATTTGCCATCAATATGGGTATAAGAGTGAAAAATTGTGCTGAGGTTCTACAATGCAGGCAAGCAGTAGTTAAACCTGTTTAAGCATGGCCATTGCCACAGATTTCCTGGTTTTTGTTAATGTTTTTGTCTTAACCATACAGACTGATTGGGTCAAATTCTGAGACTTGACATAGATGAACTCCTACCAACTTGCAAGGGCGTGTGTCTGAGGCAGAGTGCCAAGATTTGCTCTTTTCTGAACTAGGTGTGCGAGGCAACATTTTGGGTTTGGGTAAAGCTAGGAATGTTTTTATGAGTTTCATAAAGCGCTTGTGTTGGATTCTTGCACAAAGAAAATCATATATTCCTCTGAAGTAAAGGTGAGACCGAAATGACATTCAAGGGCAAAAAGTCCTGTCATGTAACCTCTTGACAGATGAAAAGAAAACTACAAAGAAGCAAAAACAACAGACAGTAAAATATGCCATGTAGCCAGGTTTTCTCATCACAAAAAAAGGAAAAAAAAAACCAAACCAAATACACAACTTGAAATATAGGTCTGGGATTGTAAACCTACTTGGATGACAATATGATTCAATATAAAAATGATACAGATCTTATTCTGCTCTCTAGTAACATTTAAAGAGCTTCTCCAGCAAATAAGAACCAGAGAAGTTAGAAAGCCATATGGGGATATGCTGGCAAAAAAGGACGTCACTGCTTCCATAGAGCCTGAAAACAAAGAACAGGTAGTGTGATAGAAGTGACACTCTGGGCACAGTGCAGAGACTAAACATGTTAAATTCCTGGTTTTGCCTTGGTCTATGATAGAAGTTCCTGCAGGCCTTCTGCTGACGTGGTTCACCTGTTCCAGCCTGTCTTGTCTGCACCAACTTGTGTCTGGTAGCAGGGCTGGAGCCTTTCATTCTTTCTTTTGGCCATCTGGCACTGTAGGTAGCTTACCAAGAAAGTTAGAAGACCCTCATGAGACTCATGTGTAGACACAACTGCCCCCAGAGTGTTACCTAACACCATCAAGTGAAATTTAAATAGCAGCAGAATGATTAGAGACTGTCCAATTTATCTGAATTTTTAAAACACTTCTACTACTAGCAGGGACTAACAGTTTTCAGCTAGGCGTCTTCTTAAAATGTCACTGCAAATATTTCATCTGTTGCTTAGAAAATGAGCCCACAAAATAACTATCATGATAAAGAAAATGATCAGTTTTAAAACCTCAGTATGACAATCCTATTCTCTAGATTTTTATTTATGAGCATTATAAGAGAACTTCAAACATCGTCATGAAGACAAGTGCCTGAGCAATCTTAGAACCTCAGTTGTTCCCATATGACCCAGCCTGCACTGAGACCCTTGCAGGTGACATCTGTGACTGCAGAGAGCAGAGGTGAAGTCAGTGTCCTTCCTGTGGTACAGGAACCTGTGCATACAAGCACTCATGTAGGACCCTGGCAATACCTGTAAGCATCCGTAACACCTAATAGAAAACCAGAAGCTCTGCACATGCAGGATTGAACATATTATTTCATCAAGGGAAGCAATAATAATTATAAAATAAAGCAAGAGAAAGTATGAACCATAGATTATTTTCTCAGGAAATAAATATGTACTTCTTTTTTAACTGCAGTTATAACAAATATGTACATCCATGATCAGTTTCTCTAGTGATCTGTAATAAAGCATACTGCTTCCATATACTTTGAGACCATATTGTAATGTGCAAGTCACTTCAGTATTGTGTGCATGGAATATTATGCATACACTCATGCACATTGAAACATTGGTGTCAGGAAATGGGGACAGCTTTCTTGTTGGATATGGTATAGGGAACCCCATTTAGAAAATGAACTTAAGTGAAGCAGAGGTGAAGTGCATACTGTACACAGGACTATTTCCCTCAGCAGAAGTACTTGGCGTGCTTGCATTTTTCAAAAGACAAAATCATGCTTGTCTTCCTTGAATGTGCACACATTCCTGGAGATGGGGGATGGTTTTCTTTCTTTTTCTTTCTTTTTCCCCTGGCCCCTAAGTGCAGTTGAGTTTGGATAATTTTTCCCCTGAATGATATGTTGCAGGGTAGGGAGGAACAGAGTTTGTATTTATTATTGTAAAAGCTCTTTTTTTCATGTTAATTCCTTTAAAAAAATATAACGGTACGTAGGGGTTACATTGCAGGCCTGTTTCACCATACAAAGTGTCTGTGCTGGAGTAGCACATGCAAATGAAGCTGAAACAGAGAATCATTGTTTAATAAAATTTGATGCATAAAAAATAAAACTATCTGTGTTTTAGTAAAGGAAACATTTTTAAAAGTGCATTTTTAAGATTTTTTCTTAAAGAGCACTGGGGTTGAGGAAATGTCTTTATTTGGTTTAATAATCTCACTTCTTCCCATTAACATTGTCAGCAGATTAACTGTTTAATCATTAAACACCAACTCTACAAGCTTTTGAGTGCACACTTAACTTTGCTCACATGTTGTCCTACTGAAATGGGAATATTGTCCTAAGCAAAGTAGTTCAGAGTTCAAACTAGGAATAGCCAAACTTCTTAGAGCAGCACTTTCAAATACATTAGAATGAATTCAAACTTTTCAATCTTCTGTCTATAATTTAATTGATTCTTGGCTTAACTATATTAGAAACTTTTTATGCAATAGTAAATGCTTCCTAAGTGTTGTTTATCTATTAGTACTATTTTTAAAATAGAAATATGCATAATATAGTGTATCTTTTTGTTGTTATTGCACTGTTATTTTTCACTTGCTTGGTGAAAATTATTTACCTTCTTTTACTGTGAACCATGTTACCATTGAGATCTACTCCAGACATAAAGTCACTTTGACCTGTTTTAAATACACCCATTTTTAGAAAGATGACATGTACACAAACATAAACACATGTATATATATGTGTATCTGTTTATACACACACACTCCTGCACATAAAAAACCACAAGTTTCTAAATTCTGGGAAATTTAGTGCAATCAGTTACACCAGCTGGTATCCAAAGAATTTTTGCCAGACAGAATGGTACCTTTGCAGCACGATTTATCACAGACTTCAGCAATGCCTGGACTTAAGAGTGAGTGTGCATGTCTCACCCCTTTAAAATCTGAAGCACTGTAGCACACTTAAAGCTTGTCTTTAATTGTAGTCTGTCATATATGTGGAGATCAGCATATCTGTCTGTGACAGACCCCTTTCTTGTTGGGTATTTGAGGGTTGAGGAGTGATACATTGAACCAGGCTAGGTAAAACATTCTTTCGAGTGTGGAAGTGCAAACCCTGTAGGGAAGCTACATTCATCATTAACTGAAATGGGACAGAAAACATGGTGCAGCTCTCACATGAGTAAAGTTTTCCCAACTGGAAATGGTAATAGAAGATTTGTCTGCTTTGTATAAAGGATGCCTTGTGCAATACTATACAGTCATTCGGAATGAAAAACGAGATAGACAGAAGAAACAACAGCATTTTTTCCCAGTAAAGTGATAAATCAGAATTTAGCTCTGACACTTACAGTGTTGTACCTCCCAACCTCTGTATAACACCAAGTAAAGGATCAGTTTGGGGAACTTCTTAAGTGTTCTGTTGGCAAGACCTAATAATCTATTACTATCATGATAATTCTAATCCTCCAGTACCCTACCTATGCACTGAGCAGCCTGATAAGGAGACATCTGACATGATAAAAATAGTCCTCAGAGATTCCTGGCTTTTAGCTGTCAGTGCAAACAGGCTGGAGTGATGCCACTCCAGAGCTTTATTCAAGAGTCTGTATGCTGCTGCTCTCTCCAACAACTACCTCAATGTCTAAAATCTCTTTCTTGTTTGAGCAGCTTGCTAAATTTTGTAAGAAAGAAAGGGAAAATATATACTCCTGCTAAAAATGCCAAATACAAAATGTTTGTAACTTAAGCTGAGTGGTTTGTTTCAAAGTTAAAACTTGGTCTGCACTTGGGAAGGGCTGCCAATGTAGCTGATAACCACTAAAGTTGAGATGATACTTATAAGAAAAATAATAATTCACTAATATCTATTCGGTCAGTTCCTTGGACAGAGAAGGCTATGCTGGTAAAATGACTATATCTACATAACAGCCTTTGGAAGTATAGCTGTGACAATCAGAAAAAAAAAAATCAAGTCCCTTACTGTCATTGCTCTGCCTGCACAACTTCTGCGTATATACCAGGTCTCAGGAAAAGCATGTACATTTGAAGAACAAAAAATAGGCTTTGAAGTACGGAGCACTCAGTGAAGATGAATGAGCTGAGGTCACAACTCTACATGTTTTATTGTTTTAGTCCATCTGACTTGCAGAACAAACAAGGCAGCCAAGTGCTGATTTACAGGGGGAAGGTTATCTTCCTGACCAATAAGAACTAAATGTTTTGTTTTTGAGAAACAAAATCAGATTCTACGGAACATAAAATCCTTGGAACCTGCTGCTGATTTCCTGCCTTCGGGAATTTCTTTTTGCAGCTGGTAGACACTTAAAACAGTAAAATTGAGCGGTTTAGGAAACTTTTCACTGCAATGTCTTCCTAATAATAAGTATGAAAGTCGTAAAACTTGCCACAGAGAAAATGAGTAATTGTAGCTGGTTTCTTGTTTAAACTAACAAGTTTTCAAACTAACTTAATTTAATTATTGTCATTCTCTTGCACCAGTTTTTACTTGCAGGTTGGTTTAGAGTCAGCTACAAGTGGGAAGCTGGGTTCAACTAAATACCAACCAGGAACCATTATGAAAACATGGCAAACTGGCAAATCCGAATATGGATTTCAGAACTCCACAGTGTGCAGAACTGCTCTGATAGCTGTAGTTGACTAGAAAATGAGTGTTTTCATGGGAATTTAACATTTAAGTTATCAGAAGCCAATGTCTTACACAGGGGAAAAAAAAAAAAAGGACTCTAACAAATTTGCTCCATAAAATCTTTGGAGTAGGTAGATCCACAAAGAGACTTTAGCCTTCCACATTAGATATGACAGATTCTCGAAATCCCAAAAGCCTCCTAACCTGCCAAGGAGGAAAAAATTCTTTGGCACCCATATTTCTGCCCTTGATTATATGTGATACCTTAACACAGCTGCAGTACTCAGGGAACTACCTTATGACTAAACCAAATGAAGCATGAAGACATAGATTTAACCTGCATGGAGAATGTCTTGGTTTATCAAATATATTAGTAATCATATTACCCTGCTGAATGATGGATAACTGCTCTGCCCTATTTGGGTAAAATAATTCCTCCTTATTTCAGTTGAGTTGTTTAGCCACTGGACATACTGGGATGAGATAGCCTTGTGTCTTGCACAGAAACAGTGCCACCTATATCCATAATTAAATAGACATTGGAGCAGAGATTTGCTAGAGATGTCTGTCTGTGCCTCTTGCCAGTCAAATGTGCTGAACACTGCACTGCAGGATAAAAGTCTCCTAATCTATCTGTGACCCAATTAATATTTAATTGTTTTATGCAAAATGAAACAGGAGAAGCAGGTTTCTTTTCAGAACAATGTGTAGGTAGGGCTTTGCCTGAGAGAATGGGAACCTGGTTCATGTCTCATGCTCAGCCTGACAAAATGTCCCACACCCAAAATCAATCCCCTAACTATTGAGCTGTTGGAGAACATCCCCTGACTTCTCACAAAAGGGATAAGCAGCTTTAGTTCCTACTTCAAAGAGAGAGTTCCCAGCTGAGAATCAAAGTCAGAGATATGTGCCTTCTCCTGCACAGTTAACCTTGGCCGAGTCTTGATGGATCTAAGTCAGTAACTAAGTTGTGTACAACTGCACTTCACTGGACTACAGCCTCATTTTATCTCCTTGTATTTCGGTAACTTTTTAAGTTTGTTGTGATTTAGATTGCTGTTTGGCGTGTGATCAGTGCTGTACTTGAAAAACAAAACTTGCTCTAAGAAAGCTCAAGAGAGTGAGAGGTCATAGTTGAAAGGGGTTTTTTTGGAAAAAGTTCTTGTTTTTCTGGATGCAGTGATCATTGCTCAGCTGTTAAGACGATTTAAACTGAACAATTCTACATTAGTTAACAGTTCCATTACAAGACTTATTGTATAAGCAAAGTCTTCCCTAAAGCTGATGCCTCTCAATAACAGAAAAATAAAATGAAATTAATTTGTACCCAGAGAGCCAGTCTCAAAATCAGGGACCACTTCTATTTCTTTTGAGGGGTTTAAGGTAAGTTGGTACTGCTGGCCATTTGACACATCACATTTGAGTGAGAAAAGTTGTCAAGGTGTTCTTTTTCTCCCACACATGTTTCTAGAAGGAAAAATTCTTGACAGTATATGTTCTAAACCCATAATAACAAATATTACTAGAAATCTGCAAACGTCTTAAAAAAAGCAAACTAAGCTTATCTCAATTATTTATTAGCCTTTCCCAGAGAAAGTTGTCAGCACAGACAATATTTAAAATTCATGTAGTATTTGATTAGACTGATTGATTGTACTTACAGCTGAAGATATTAACATTCATTAGTCTTACTTGCTGGTTATTAGTACTGCCTTTATTATCAGGTAAAGAATAAATAGAAATTCTAATAAAAATTCATAAAATCTTGTGATTTCCAGAACATTAGCTCTGTTGTTTTAAAGCTAACAACACAAAAGTGTGCTATAAACATTTCAAAAATCATTTAATAAATCATTTTTATCTTAACTCTTAAACTTAAGGAGGCTAAGAGAGATTCTTATATATGCAACATAGTAAAGCACTAATTGCACATTTTTTACTAATTTTACATTTTTACACACTCACTGTCTCCTATGTGATTCTGCAGAATGGTTAAAGCTTGTTACACATAAAGTGACTCACCACAGTTAATCTATATTAAAGAAAAGTCACATTTGTGTGTTATAGTATGATCACAAATAAGAGAAGAAACCCTATGATGACTGAGAAATCATGCAAAATTTATTAGGTTTCTTTTTAATTGATCATTTTAATGGTACACAAAATGTAACAAAATTAAAAGCCTGATAGTGATCATTGTTCCAGAAATGCATTTTACTCCCATTAATTTACTTACGCGATTTCAGTGGAAGCATATTTAAAGTGCATCTGTAAATATTTTTAATCCTTGACTTTTTTTTTTTTTTACAGGAGCCTCTGAATGTTATTGATCCCAGTCTGATGGATCTAAATGGTCCAAGTGAAGATGCACTAGAATGGGATGAAACTGACATAAGCAATAAGCTGATCAGTATTCATGAAGACTTAAGTGATCCAGATCAGGAACTCAAGAAGGAGGATGTAAACCAGAAACCTGCTTCTGAAGAATGTGTTGATAACAATGTGAATGAAGATGAAAATATCAGTGATCGTGGAAGTCCTCTTTATTATCCCAACATTACTTCCCCACCAAATCCTCACATCTATCAGGTCTATAGTCTTCATAATATTGAATTATCAGAAAAAAAACACATGCCCTTTTTGAAAAAAACATCCAAACTCTCCAGTGTAACACAGTCTAACATTCTAAACAAAAGTCTTAGTAAAGACTCATCATTTTCTTCTACCAAATCCCTGCCAGACCTCATAGGGGGGACTACATTGGCAAAACCATATAACTATATGTATCAGAGTGGAAACATAAGCAGGCATTCTGAGAGTGAGAGTGGGATAGTGAGTGAATGTGATACAGAAACTACAAATAATTCAGAAATTTTTTTGCTAAATGATATTGAAAGTACTCAAAGTAATCCTGAAACTGGGCATGAAGAAACTCAAGTGGATGATATAGTCAGTGTAATAAAACAAAAAATAAAACAAGATGAAGAAGACCATGCTAGTCTCTCAGATGATTTCCAGCTGGCACCTTCTGCACGTTGTGGACATGAAACTGATGAGGATTTGGACAGCATTACCATGTGTAACCCTGTTTGTCTAGAAGAATTGCAAGGAAAACCTGATGTGTTTACATTCTATGATTACTCGTATCTTCAAGGCTCCAAATTCAGATTACCAGTGATAATGAAACAATCACAAATTGAAAAAACACATACAGAGGGCAGTTTGTTTCATGGCTTTTGTTTTGATAAAATACCTGGTAAATCTGAAAATAATCCTAGAGAGTCACAACCAGATGGGTTAATTCATGACCATACTCTGGCAAGTATCCCTGGAGAACCAGATCCCAACTCCTGTAAATCTGTAGAAACTATAAGAAAATTAACTGTTACAGAGAACACAAGGCAGGTTTCAACTTTGTCTCGTAGTTCTTCATTAGAATCTCTATCTGTAGTAGGTGATTTGTTCAGCTCAGGTATTTTTAAAAGTGGAGACGGTCTTCAGCGAAGCACCTCTTTGGAGAGCTGGCTGACTTCTTACAAAAGCAATGAAGACCTTTTTAGTCATCATGGCTCAGGAGACATAAGTGCAAGCAGTGATTCTGTTGGAGAGCTCAGTAAAAGGACATTGGATCTTTTGAATCGCTTAGAGAATATTCAGAGTCCTTTAGATCAAAAAATAAAGCGCAGCATCTCTGATATAACACTGCAAAGTAACTCTCAAAAAATGTCTTTCACTGGACAGCTGTCTGTAGATATTGCATCCTCAATCAACGAAGACTCAGCAGCTTCTCTCACTGAACTCAGCAGCAGTGAGGATCTTTCTCTTTGCTCTGAAGACATTGTACTTCACAGAAATAAAATAGCAGATTCAAATGCATCATTTAGAAAACATCTTAATAGATCTGTAGCTGATGAGAGCGATGTCAATGTCAGCATGATTGTTAATGTCTCCTGCACTTCTGCTTGTACTGATGATGAAGATGACAGTGATTTGCTTTCAAGTTCCACCCTTACCTTAACTGAGGAAGAGCTAGGTATCAAAGATGAAGATGATGACTCCAGTATAGCAACTGATGAGGATATTTATGAAGAATGCCATTTAATTTCAGGACTTGATTATATAAAAAATGAGCTTCAAACTTGGATTAGACCAAAATTTTCTTTGACAAGGGAGAAGAGAAAAAGTAACCTCAGTGATGAAATTCAGCATAGTAAAGTTAGTAATGAGACATCAAAAGCCACAGATACATTGAACATTGAAACACTATTGAATGGTTCAGTACAGAAAATATCAGAAAATAATGGCAATAGTAAGAGTGTACCACGTGATCGTGAAAAAGGGACAAAGAGTCACCTGATGAAAGATCTCTCTCAGATTGTGAAGGATCAGCTTGTGGATGATATGGAGAATGGCAACATTGAAAATACTCTTGGCAGTCAAAAGGAAGATCTTGTTAGAACATCAGCAGCTCCCAAAACTCATGCATCACTTGATGTTAGAGAAGTTGAAAATGAATGTTGTATCTGTGAAGCATTTACAGACAGTTCAGATGATTCACATATGGATGGCAAGGAGACTGTTCTGTCATCAGATGGATCCAGAAACCCTCCAAAAGAATGTCAAAGTTATCTTCAGCCTGATCATCATGCTGTTGCTTCCTCTCCTGCTAAGAAGCTTTGTCTTGAATCTTCCTCAGAAATTAATTGTGTAGACATACAAGATACAGCTTTACAGACATCCTTACCTAATTGTCAACAACCTAGAATAAGCATTACTGACAAGTCTACTGATTGCTGTACAGCCTTGAAATCCAATGAAGCAGAATACGACTCCTCAGTCAATGGTCCTGATTTGTGCTGTAACTGTGAATCTGCTGCTTTTGATAAAAGAAACATGGAAGATGGCTCAGTGCACAATTTTGTGAGGGAGATAATAGACATGGCATCAACAGCTTTGAAAAGTAAGTCACAACCTGAATGTGAGTCATCTGCTCCGGCTTCATTAGCACAGATCAAGGAAAAAGTGTTAGAACACTCTCATAGACCCATTCAGCTAAGAAAAGGGGACTTCTATTCTTATCTTTCACTTTCTTCTCATGATAGTGACTGTGGAGAAGTAATCAAATACATAGAGGAAAAGAGCAGCACTCCTGTGCCACTGGACTTCACAGATGAGAGAGAAAATATTGAATGCTTTTTTGAAGCCTGTCCTGAGGAAGAACGGGTTGAGCAGCAGCAATCCATTTCTAATGGTACTACTGAAGCACAAGTTGAGCAGCTGCAACAAATTTCTAACATTATTTCCAAGACGTCTTCAGAGTCACTAGGTGAAGTCACTCTAGAAACATTAGAAGAAAATAAAACTTCATCTGAAGGTAGGGATTTATCTTTCTTATGCAACAATGACAATGATAAAAACGTTCCCGGTCCTAACAAACAAAGTGCATCAAACAATTTGAAAAATGCTGATGATGATTTGCTGATTTCAGATGGGCAAACTAAAGGTTTGGAAAAGAATTCTCCAGGGCTTAGCACTAAAAAGAGTAGTACAGGAAAATCACCTGGAACTGAAGAGCTCAAAGGATGTGTTGCTTCTTTGGAAGAGGCTTCAGCTATGGAGTTTCAGTTAAAGCCTGGCCATTCACAGAAAAAAGATGTTTTGCATCAGAACAATAAAACTCTTACTTGTGAAGAAAATCTCCTGAATCTTCATAAGGAAAGACATATAAATATGCACAGATAGAATGTAACCCTCTTCAGGCATGTACATTATCCTAAAAACAGGTATGTACTCTACAAGTTGCACATTCTTTTTTTTTTTTCTTTATTTTTAAATACATTTTTGTACAATGAAGGAGATGAATCACCATCCAGGGCTTCTGTTTTATTAATGATGCTATATAATTTGTTTTGATTGTACTGTGATCCTAATTTACATGCCACTGGTCAACAGTTGCAGGGAATACTAACTTCTTCTTGCCCTTTGGCATTGCACTGACTGGAGCTGCTCTCTTCTGGAACAAATCTGCTATCTTGCAGATCTTGCAAATTCTTCAAAAGTAGTATTTCTATGTCAGCCTCCTCTTCCCTCCTCAACTGAGCTGTGGAACCAGAAGCCAGCTCTACTCATTGATCTCATTCTCCACAGTCCGCTGGCCTTCTGAGGTGTTCAAAAGCACTTGATGAAGCTGAACTTCTGATTTTACAAGAATTTTGGGTAACTAGGGTTGGAGTCCTACAATATTTCCAGACAAGCCATGAACAATGGCTAAGCAGACTGGAGAATAAATAGAGAGATAATAAGGCATCTCTTGATGTCAACTTACCATGATTTAAGTTCAGCAAACCATTATTAAGGACACAATTATTACAACACAGTGTTAGGCCTAAAGTTGAGGTTACCAAAATAAGAAAACTTTGCAACATCATTAAAGAGTATAATGTGAGGGTAATGTACAATAAAGACCTGAATACCAAAGCAAATGGAAACTGATAGCCACACAGCAGTACTGGAAGCTTCGGTTCTATTTTGTGATAAGCATTTTGAAAAAGAAGATGGTGGAACCTGAGATGAAAAAGTGTCTCTGATCTCTTCCAAAGTTTGAAAGTGGTTTAGATCTGGAGTTTCTGACCTCACATAAATGTCTAACAATAACTACAAATTTAACAACAAAAGAAGATCTACAAAAGCAACTTCTGGATCAGATCCTAGCGTATAGCACTGCTGCTTTGCATCTCATCAGTTGTTTGGTGACCCAAAAGCCAACATAGCTGTATGAGAATGCCATTAGTCTTTGGAAACACTCCTCTAGTAGACCAGAGCCAACATGGCAAGTCCAAATGCCACTCCAATTCCAAATACTGCTGCTTGCCAGAAGCTGTAGCATGGTAATTTCCAATAAGACACAAGGCTGAGCACAGGAGCAGGTTTTCCCAGACAGTTCTGGAATCTCCATCCTTGGAGATTTTCAAAATTCAGGTGGATGTGGCCCTGAATAATCTGATCTACCTTTGAAAATAGCCTTCCTGTCAGCAGGAGGTTAGACCAGTTGACATTCAAACTTCCTTCCAACCAAAGTTATTCTATGATTCCATGATGTTGATAGGAGAAAATGCTGTTACTCTTCACTCCCCACAAAAACCACTAGTACTCTCCTATTGCAAACTGTGTAGCTGTAGCAGAGGAACTGGGTCTATTTATACAAAATAGATTGCTGCTATTAGATATTGAACTTCTGTTTCCTGATTTTGTTGTATTGTATTACTATGCTTTGGGCTTTTCTTTTGCTCATATTGGCGGTTCACCCAACATTCACACATTCACATATGTATAAATATGTCTAGCAAAGCCTTTCAGTTAGGACAGCAATAGCCTACAGCTTGCCACGATATCTTTTGACACATATTTGAATGATGCATTATCTTGGAACCGTCATAGCAAAGAGGATATTTCTTGAATGGCTTTGAAATGTGCTATCACTACCTGTTCATTGCCAATAAGGTTAATGCTTGGAGACACCCAAACAACTGGAGAAGAAATGGAAATCAACTGGGAATTACAAAACTCATAGATGATACTATATATTCTGGAATTACATTAAAAGGATTATGTGTGTACGGAATCCTCTATTTCAAAATTGAGATGATGACAAAAGTCTGAGGTTGATAAGTTATAATTATGTAAAAATAAGCTTTTCCTAAATTACTGTTTTATTAGTTTTCTTACTTTTTTCACTCATTTTTATAATATTAATTTGAGGAAGAATACTTACTATAGTGAGTGTGATTTTATTCTTGTTCTCATTCTTTCACTGATGAAGATAATAATATATCTTTTCAATTCATTAGTACTTTTCTTCTGAGGATCTCAAAATACTGTGTAAATGTTCCCTCACTCTTCAGAGCTTCATAGTTTCTTACACAGTAGCCAGCTGTGTTTTTCATAAGACTGGGATATAGCAATATGCATTTAAAAAGGTGTAAAGACTAAGATTAGACATAGAGGATGGAGATATTAAAAAATGCCCCACAAAGCAAAAAAATGTAATGCAGAATCTGTATGCAACAACTTGATAAGGTTATGTTATAGTTTTAATTTTTGCCCAGGGGTTGACAAATATTTTTAAGGTAACAAAGCCCTTCACACTACATCCCCCTTTTTACATTTAAGAAGATATACTGGTTCTTAACTGATACATATAGCATTGCTTCCATGGAAACTATGTACTATATTATTCCCAGTAGTAAACCCCTAGGATACATATAGTTTGTCTCTGGCACATCAAAAAGTGAAAATATGAGCTGCTAGATTTGGTTTCACTAAAGTCTGAGCTCCCTTCCCCCATTCACAATCTTGGTGCTTTAACTTCATCTCTCATGCTATGGGGAATGAATTACAGAAGCAATCTATCCTAATTTGTTAACTTATTCAAATAACAGTTATTATACTTAACTATGCTAAAGATTATCTTTTTGGTGGCAGATTGTTTATTTTTTGATGAGGCTAATTACTGATTTTCCAAAGGTAATTTACATTTATTACTAATACATCTTTTAAAATGTGACAGATAAATGTTGTTCCCATAAGTGTATTATGAAAAAAGTTACTATTTAAAAACACATTATTTAATTTGAAAGATAAATGGCAAACACCATTATTTTTCCTGTAGCACCTGTGCTGTAAGCTCATTTAAATGTGTAATTCCATGTGTAGCTGCAATACTTAGAGAAAAATAATCTGTAGTATATGTGTACCTTAAAAGCATACTGAGAATTCAAAGCTGAAAAAGGCATAGTTTCAAGTGTAGTTTGATTTTATGCTGTTTTAGTATTTGCCTTAGCTGTACAGGAGGATAAAAGTAATAGTGCAGAAAATATTTTTGCCTTTTATTTAGCAGTATGCTACAAAGAAGAAAAAAAGAAAGAAAAAAAAATACCATTATGGGAAAATAATAACAATTCTATAAGCAGGCTTAAAGATATCTTTATCATCACTGACTAGTCTCTCATACGAGCCAACACAGAGTTCTTCAACAGATGTGCTCATAAAGCTATGCTGATTTTATTTCTCAAGTAGGGAACAGCTCAAAGGAACTGTCTTTCTGTATATGAAATCATGCAGTCTTCTGCTGTCACTGTGACCTATGACTTCCCAATGGGATGGGAATTTATTGTTACATATTCAACATGTGTAGAGATCAATACATTAAGGAGGTTTCTGTGAATTGTCCGAAGTCTTTTCTAGAGGATAAATTAGACTTCTGTGTGTAATCTGTTGGTTCTTACAAGCAAGTCACAAATGCTATTTCCATCCTTATGTGTGAAATTTGTAATTTAAACTTGAAATTTAACTTAATTTAGGGAAAAAATATTTTACCTGGGCTTAAGAAAGATAAATTGGTTTTAACTGACAGTGCTGCAATGTTAGCCAGAATATCCTGCCCATACAATAGCCAGGAGAAACCCAGGACTGGAACTCAGAAGGCCTGACTGTTATTTCCTGCTCAGCAATAGGTTTTTTTGTATGACTTATTCCTTCCTTGCCTCAGTTTCTTTAGCAACAAAATAATGAGAATAGTGATCAATGGGACCTGTGAAGTATGATTTATTCACTGAAGAGTGTTTTGAGATCCACAGATAAAAGATGATACGTAAATGCAGAGGATTTAGCTAGTTATTCATTACAGGAGAAAAATAATATACAGGTTTACACAATACTTAATATATAATAATTTACTTTTAGATACTGGAACTACAAGAATAATCTAAATCTTTGCCTACCATTTTTTTTCCTAGAGGTTTTTATAGGGAGGTAGATACTATAATGTTTCTTTATAGAGCTTAATACAGTGTGACTTTTTAGGTCCTTACAGTAGCTGACTTTAAAAAAATTAAATAGAATAAACAGATAATCTTGTATTGTCTGTGAATTACTTAACTTTTGGAAAACCTGACATAATCCATCAGTGAAGCTTTTCTTATGATACATATGTGAAACTCGTGCCAGAGTTGTAGAAACCTTTTGATACAATCTTCCCCTTTATTCAGATCAGTTCTTCATTAATTTCTAAACAAACTGTAGAGATTTTCACCACTTTCATCTCAGTATACTTCTTCTATAAATGGGGGGGCATGTGGTGGTAAGTTACAGCAAAGGTCAAAGCAGAAGACAACAGGATAGATCTAGATATTCCTGCTTAATTTGGAAGGCACATAACGCATGTCTGGAATACCTCCTAGGAAATGCCTGAGATGTATTTTGCACTAATCTTTGAGCTGTATTCTGACAGTTATTTCTTCATAATCCTCATCATAAGCCTCTGCTCTTTGATGAATAGTTTAACCCTAAATTCTGAGCTGGATAATTCTATAATATGAAAATTTACTCATTGCTGGTACTAGAAGTGTCTAAATAGCTATTTACAGTTTAAAAATACAGTGATGACACTGACAATTCGATTCATGGACCACTTCTGTGACAATCCTTTCCTCTTCTCCATTAAGATTTGATTCTATATGTTTACATAAATATTAAAATAAGTGATAGGTAGATCTTTTTGTTGCTTGGCTTTTAAAAATTCCTGTGTTTTGATTGATGAGTGCACTTTTGAGTGCACTGAAGGTAAGTTTGCAGGTAAGGATGAGGACAGGATCCAGGGAAAAGGTCAGATTTGATGACTTCCCTTGTTTCTTTAGAAACAAAGTCCCTACAAAAATCAATGAGTTTTCTACATCAATACAATTTTTTACACTAACTTGTACCTCAGGCTGTTAAAAGTCATTGTTTGCCTATTGTATGCTTCTGCATTAAAGGCTCTGGCGTGTGATCATTTAATGACTATCTATGGTTGTTCTGGAAGAGCTATGTTTTGCAAATAAAACTTCATTTTCTGTAACCTACTATTACTTTTTTGTTTCCTTTTAGAAACTTGGCTGCAATTCAGGTGCAGGTTCATCCTGTAAACCCTGGGATGACCTCCAATTCCATTGTATCACTGCCTTTCATTACACTGACTACCAAGATAAATTTTCTTTCCAAATGTGATTTGTCCATGTTGGCTTTGTGATCAGGCTGCATATGCTAGTCCTATTTCAGTGATCATTTTGTATAGTAGCAAGGCCATTTGCTTTCATAGGGATTCCTCTCCCAAGCTACCTCTAATGACCTCCCCTTCTTAAACTGGATGCTCCTGTACTACTTATCACTGGTTCTGTTCTTTAAAGTTTGGAAGTTCCACAGAATTAATGATCAGTCTGGTTCATCTTTTCTGAACTGTACCTGACAGTACTCTTCTATTTTATGTATCAAATTTAATATTTATGTGTATATTGCATAAGTTTATTGAAACTATTTTACTTTTAAAGCGATGATTTTATTGGATTGCAGCAAAAAGAAGTTATTAGTCCTCCTGATTCAATACGTCTAAAATTTAAGCAATTAAATGGCATTTTATTTATTTAATTTTTAAATTTAATCTATGCAACACTTCAAGAAACAACTACATGGTGTTGTATATTAGGAACTGTTGACATTCTACTGAATTAAGTACAACATTTTGGTTTTTTATGCTTCTTGAGGTGGTAATGAGAAAAAAAGTTTTTAAAAAATGTGTGCCTTGCTGTATTTCTTATACCGTATATTAAAAAGCTGCTTTCACAGTAAAATTATGTTGGTTTGAAAGGAGGAAATAGCAAGGTTAAGATGTGTGAATAATTTCTGTATATATGTATAACCAAGTGCAAACATTGATGTATAATGACAGTATAAAATGCTTTCATGTTTGTGATGTCCAGTGATGTGGAAAATATAAGCCTTAAAACCATTAGATTGCATGGTAATTAGAATTGGCATAATAAACATAGTTTATTGGGGAAAAAAAAGCAGAACTGGTGATCTGTTTTACCTGCGTTCCAAGAACAGAATGCTTTATCGGGTACAGAAGAATATGTTTTTGTTTGCCAGTGTTCCCTAGAGGTACACAATTCAATAGCTGGTGAAGATTTGTATTACCTGGCTCAGAGGTAAAGAACCTTTTCATTAAAGATTCTGTGGGTCTTTTGGGACAAACAAGGAGACACAAATATTTAGTGGTTTAAACTGTACATTGGCAACTGCAGTGGTGGCAATGATCAAACACACTTTTCTTTTGATCAAACAGATCTTGTCTTTGATTATCATTAACAGTTTTTTGTCTGATTCTTAAAATGTCATTAATTTACATAATTATATTGAATGAGCTTTATATATATTTATATAGACACTTTTACAATTGGCTGTTTCAATGACACAGACTGTATATTTAAAATGTTTTTATCATGTGCTAAAACTACACTGGGTGACCAAAACGAGCCAGACAGCTTTATAACTTATCTCTGCCAACATAGCATTCATCTCCTAAAAACAGTATTTGGAAGGGATGTCAGGAAAGTTAAAAGGCAAGGAATGGTCTCCTATACCACCCTCTATCATTATTTTTCCAGGTATATAAAAGTTTTTACAAAAAACTTCAACATTTTTCTTCCTTTAAAAAATGTGCATCAGTTTGACAAGCTTAGTTAGTAGTTTAGAGGAACTATACTGATGAGTTGATATATTAAAGTAACACTGAAAGAACAGGAATTAAAAAAAAACCCTCATGTTTTCCAAATTATTAACATCTTCTTATTACTACAACAGACAAATTATTTATCTTTCAACTTAAATTTCCACTGTGCAGCCTTGGGTAGGCCATGATGTGGGTAGGGCAGCAGAAACAACTCTTAGCTTGAAGAAAAGTGTAAATAATAAGGAATTTTTAAGAGGGCCTTTGGAATCCGTAATTTTTTCTGCTCTTGCACATCTTGTATCATGTACAAATCTAATAGGTTAATCTATAATTGCTTAAAATGTATAACTACATAGCTAAAGATCACTTTAATATCTTTAAAATATTTTTAATTATATATAAAGTAATTTGGAATATAACTCCTCATTTTAGTAAAATATATACAGTGGCAATTACATTCATCTATGAATTATTTCAAATATTATTTCTATAATTGTCTTGACATATGGATTGAGTTTAGAATAATTCTTTTTTTCTCCCTAGCATTTTCTGATTTATGTTGTATTTTTTTTAAACTTACTTTGACTATAGTCATACCTTATACTATGATGACAGGAAAACTAAGTCAGAGGCTTTTCAGATCTGTCACCTCACCCAACAGACTGTGCAGAACTCCATCAATTACTTGTACTATTCTATTAGGCCATTTGCCACAAATTCACTCTTTTCCTGGGGGAAAATAGTAGTACTTGTCAAATCAATAAACCACATATTAATCATACAATATCTGGAATATTATATGGCCACAACTCAAATTTCTGTGGTTCCTTTCTGAGAGATGCTGAACATTTTAATTTAACTAGTATTCCCAGATCTATATTATTTGGTCTCACGAGATAAAGTCATCATTTTTATGACTGTGACACAAGACCCATCATTATCAACTATTACTTTTTTGGCATGGTTAGAAGATTTACCCTTTTTTATTTTTCTTCTCAGAATATATTGGATTTTGTTGTCAATAAAAATTGATTTCTAAGGGAAAAGAAATATCTGATATACGCTCTACAGGATTTGTTCATGCCTTAGTATAAGTCATATGCCAAATAGTCATAGGCCAAATTGTGCCTAGAACTTGTGAGAACTTCTAGTGCTAAGTCACTAAAGAGAAATATTAGTATAGGATAAAATTAACCTTGCTGTACCAATATACCTCTAAGATCAGTCCTTACATAGGTTCCTGTATAGATCCTCTTCCCTGCTGGTGCAATTCTGTTGTGGTGAAGAAGCATGCTGCAAGATTGCTGCAGCATTTATCCCCACCTAAAATTTCATAGGCTGCTTTTTATTGCACATACTCCCTGGCTCATGTTTGAACAACACCTGCAATGGGTGAGGAGGCCATTTGACAGCAATGGTCCTGACACCTGCATCTCCCTTTTCTGCCTGCTTCACATTCCTTCCATGGAGAGCCAGAGCTCTTCTGCTCTAAACAAAAGGAGTGCACACTAATACTGGTGGTAAAACACGTGCCTGGGACTACAATTTAAAAGGTGTTTTGTAATCACAGTAGTTTTATACATGGATAGCCTTGTAAACCATGTCCCCAGTCTTTCTCACTTAATGATTTGCCTTTTTCCCAAGGTAAGTCAAAGAGTTTTTTATGGAACAGTGCCTCTGCACCTTTGTTACAGTAAGAGAAATTTAGGTGGTATCTCTATGTCATTCTGATTGGCTGTGCTGTTCATCATATACATGTGTACAACTAACCATACAACTAGGCAAAGATAATGAAATTGTTCCTGCTTGTTTCACAATAAACTCAAAAATTCACTGTCAGTTAGATTGCGTCTCAACCTTCCTCCTTGGTGACAGGATCCACAGATGACATAGCCTCCCACATCACATATTTTAGAATTTTATTCCAATTCCCCTGTGCTGAGGAAAAACAACAGGTTTTGACTAAAATGTATCTGGTAAAAGGGTTGATTTCTATTTTTATTTTTTCTTCAAGACACCAGGAACAATGGTGTAAAAGTTCCTGTGCTGCAGTGCACAGAAAAGTGTTATTAATGTTTAGGGTAGACCGTACTCATACTTGGCTTGAGAGGATTAACAGGGATGTCAAGTCCTTAGCCAAGTCAATCTCGTTCACTGACAGGTTTCTACAAACTTATTCCTAATAATAGTATCACTTTGAAAGGGATTTTGGCCAACAAATGACATCTGATCTATTGCCTTCAGTGCTGTGCTTCTAATTTTTCAGACTCACCCTGTCTTTTATATCTTTTCTATCAACCTGGATCACTTAGATTTTTCATGTGACTACTGTTTGCTTAGCAAATGCATTTTCATCCCTGATTTTAGGAATGTGTTTAAGAACTAGACCATATATGAACATGGTATCACTTAAGTCTGTACACTGGATGAATTTTAAGTGCTTCTGTGCTTTAAAAATGGAATTTCCTATGCAATAGCAAGTAGTATTACTTTATTTCTGGGGAGTGAGGGAATAAGTGAAGACAGAAGTAAAATGGAATTTCCTATGCAATAGCAAGTAGTACTTTATTTCTGGGGAGTGAGGAAATAAGTGAAGACAGAAGTGAAGTTAGAATTCTTTAAATCAGTAATTTCATTGTACAAATATTACTGAGATATTGTCAGACTAATCATTAAAAATACACAAAGTACAGAATTACAACATACTTAAAATGAAATTATATGGTATGAAAAAAGATAGTTAGATAAGTAAATGGTTTTACCTCTGCCTTATATTGAGCTCGTGTCTCTGTGACATTCTGGGTTTGCAAATGAAAGTGAAAATAATTTTTAAAAACACATGCAATTTTAAAAAGATTTTTCTCTTTATTGTAATTACTGTGAGGCTGTTTTAAATGCAGCAAGGATCCAGTTGTAGCATTTTCCAAAGAAAAGTGAGAGTAACAAGGAAAGGGAAACATGTTTGACAAGATTTCAAGCAATAGTGGAAAAGCACAAACCATTCTTTATGCACTTCATTTACAGAATGAAAAAGAATCAGACTCTGGAAAAACTGATACTGAGCATCAACCATCTACCCCAACTCTATCCCTTTTTTTTAGGGGGAGATAAATGCTACTGGAAATAGTGTGCCCTCAGACAAGGTGGTATGGCAATTTTTCATACAGGCTACTGTATACCTATATATGTACCTGAACTTCTGCTCTGTAGCTCTTAAATCAAAAGTCTGATCCTAGAATTGTGTTTAGAGAGTATGGGTTTGTGCTTTCTTCAGGATCAAATTTGGGCTGAGAAATATCTACCTCTAAGCTTGAAAATGAAGTTGTAGCAAGCAGATTTTAAATAATATGCAATGGCAGACAAAAAATTATAAAAGGAAAAGAAAACAAAAAAGCAATCTTTCTGTAAATCCTGGTGGTCCCCTGCCAGTAGTTTAATCAAGAATACTCTAAGCTTTGTAGGATTATGATAGTTCTATTAACTGATCATTACTTATCCTGACATACTGATGCCAGACAGATCTATATCTCTCTATAGTTTTCACTTTACTTACCTCAAAGTAGGGCTTTTCAAAGTACTGAAAAGATTATGGAAATGTCTTTTCAATTGTTAAAATTGTGGCACAAATAAAAAAACAATTTAGAAAAATAAAACAAACCCCACAACTCTGTTGGGTTGCTGAGCATCTGTGCCAGCCCAGCCAAGCAGTGATGGTGTTGGCCGTATTTTGTGGTGACAGTCTTTAAAAAGCTTTTCATGCACATAGAGCTCTATTTTCCACTATTGATATGAATACTAAAGAAAACTTCCCCATAAGGGGAGTTTGCCTTAAAAGAGAATATGTTTCTCAAACCCATTGCTGTTCATTTTACATATTCCTGCATCTCTTACCCTCTTCTGAGCTGAACAGTTCTCCTCTTGGACCCTTTCTTCTTGCACAATTCAGCAACTAAAGGAAGGGTTTGCAATTTATGTTTGTAGCAGGCAATTTACAGGTAGCATTTTGAAAGGTGGGCAAGTGGCAGGAAGAACAATAGGGCCCTGGGGTGAAGGGAAGGTGGCTGATAGATATGTAATGCAGCAGCTGCACCAGCGAGGCTGGAGGGAGGATCTGGATCTGCAAATGTCATGCTGGCTGATGACTGACTGAAAAAGAAGAGAGAAGCTGAAGAGGAGGTGGAGCTTCAAGGGCGGTTGATGGGAACTAGCTCTGCTTAAAATATTTGTAGAATGGTAGGAACATACAGTGTATTGAAAATCTCTGTTGCTAGACTTGTTATTGCAAACTGTAAAGTGATGCTA